TTTTAAGCTCCACTGTAAAATTCTCTTGATATGTACAAGTTTGCCTTTTGTGCTCTCTGCTGTAATACGTTTTGTAAACCACTTGTAAACAATTTGGTAGACAGTTTTGCAATGTGTACATACCTTTGGGCAAATATTCTTACTAGATAACTCAATTCTAGCATTTGGATATTCCCATTAAACAATTGACATGTTTCAGTTCTGGCTATGTATCCGGAACTGCAAATGGGAAAAGTGTGCATTCAAATTCATCCAGTACAAATTTCTTCCAGTCCATAAAATAATCTTTAAAAAAAAGTAAAGCCCCTTATGGCATGGATCCAACCTGAAGAGCATCTCACCCTGATGAGACTAACTTATCTCAATTCTTCCACTGGAAGAGGCCTAATGCAGATCCCATTAGCCAAGGAATTCTGTCTGAGGGATCAAGGAAAAGAGCCTTTTATGCTGTGGGCCTGGTCCTGTGGAACATTCTACCACTGGAAGTGAGAACTGTTCCCATTCTTCTGGCCTTCTGAAAGGGGATCAGATTGCAGATTATCAGCTAGAGGGGACCTTGTAGGTCATTTAGACCAATCCCCCACCCAAGCAGCAGGTCCTACAACATTTCTGACAAATAGCAGTCCAATCTCTTCTTGAAAACTTCCAGTGATGAAGCTCCCACAACTCCTGAAGGCAACTTCTGTTCCATTGGTTGATTGTTCTCACTGTCAGAAAATTTCTCCATATTTCCAGGTTGAATCTCTCCTTGTTCAGTTTCTATTATTCCTTTTCTGGCCTACAGGTGCTTTAGAAAATAGCTGGACCCCTTCCTCTCTATGGCAGCCCCTCAAATATTGGAAGACTGCTACCATATCTCTCCTGGTCCTTCTCTTCACTAGACTAGCCAGGCACAGTTCCTGTAACCGTTCTTCATGTTTTTGTCTCCAGTCCACTAATCATCCTGGTTGCTCTTCTCTGCTCTCTTTGTAGAGTCTTTTTTATAGTGTGGTCACCAAAATGTTATCAAAAAGGTATCAAAACCTTTGGTGCTTGGGGCCCCAAGGGGCTTCACCTTTGGAAGTGGTTAACAGTGTAACCTCGGAAGAATTTGAAAGCAGGGTGGATCTATGGAAAGCTACCAAAAACCATAGTGGATGGAACCAACAGAGAAGCTGGCACCTAGATCTGATGAAAGCTGGGAAGTATAGAAATCATTGAATACACTGCCACATGGGTACAACAAAATCCAGAGACACTCTGAACAAATGGGGCTATCTGGTTGCTCCTGCTACGTGTGATTGTGGTGACATGCAAACGGTGTATGTATACCTTCCTTCCCTTTGTGCTCCAATCAATGTATACTTGAGGAGAGAACACAATGCACAGAACACAATGATGTTACTTTCTGGGCAAGATCTGTTTAAGTTGTACCTATTTTAATCTTGTATTTTATATTCTATATTTATGTCATATAGTGTGCCTTATTTTAATTGTTTTAATTTTAATTGTGATGTTTCTGACACAAATAAACAAACAATAGTGTTGTCATTGTTTCTATATTTATCTTTTTTATTATTTGTAAGCTGCCCGGAGTTACCTTATCGATGAGAGGGGCAGTATATAAATAAATAGAAATCTATTGGGTTGGCCGTAGATCAGAACTTCTTTTCTCATTCTGGAGTTCTTCTCTCACCTTACTACAAAGTTGCATTGAGATGCAAGAGGAATTTCCAAGCAGCAGCATCTTTAAATCTTTCAGTGCTATAGTAAGTTATGAAAGTTCCCAAGCCTTTAAGGGACGGGTCCATTTCTTGTTTTCGCAGCTACAAAAGAACCATTTCAAAGTGCACTTATCAAGTTGCCATTTATCCTGCATTTTCTGTTGATGTAGTTAGCCAACCCCTCTCTCTTTAAATGGTAATTAGACGGCTCTGATAGTGATCTGCAGAAAATACTCTCTGGTAGTCTTCTGGGTGACTATCACTGGCAGTTTTATTACTAATTTGCAGTTGCTACTGGGCTTGTCTATAATTAAGTTACTAATGGACTGTCTTGGCTGAGCTACTTTGTTTTTTTTTCCCCTCTCCTTCCCTTGCCATTCTTCTTATGAAACCTCTTTTCATACGTTTGAAGATAAAGCTCTACCTGTGATCGCTCATCAACCTTTTAGGGTGCTTTTTAATTGTTTTCCAACTTCACACTCTTTGGTTCACAACCAAAAATGCTTCTGGGTAGAGATTTATATGATATTTACATACTGCTTTAATTAGAGTAATGATTACACCTGTTTTAAGATAATATGTATTACTCGCTGCCAACCAGAAACACAATAACTGGAGCCAGCCTGCATAGAGGTTGCCTTTGAAAAGATGTTTAATTTTTCAGTAACATTTTAAATAATGTTGCTTAAAGTATTAAAGAATTCTATTGTATTCTAAGTATTAATTATGGAAGTGCTCGGCTGGGACATTTTATAATACAAAAATAACTTGGCAGAATACCATGAAAGAGTTGCTTCATGAAAATAACTTTTATATCTCCAAACAGCTGTCCCAATATCAAAACCAGTTCATTAGGGTCAGTCAAAATTTGCTCAAGCAATTTGATTATTACTGAGAATTCTAAAAACTGAATTCCATCCAGTTGAAGCTCATCCAAGTTAGCTTGATTCTCAAAATGGCTCACAAATAGTTTGAATAAATAATAAATAACATTGACACACAAAGTAGTCCTTGACTTACATAATGGAGCCTATCCATTATGTTCGTAAGATGTGATCATAATAACATAGGTTACCCATGTCACTGACCCATTTTTTAATTTATTCTATTTATATGCCACCCATCTAGCTGTCCAAAAGATTTTAGAATATTTTTTTGCAGTGATCATGAAGCAAACCCATTGTTCGTATGGGCCAATTTTGCCCGTGCTGGTGTTCAGCCAAAGTTTTCAGCAAAAGTATAATCACATTTTGGGTTTAATGGGAAAAATACTTAGGAGAAAACAAATGGAACTTTGATGTTATATATGTTGATGGCAGTAAGACTACTTTACCCACAGAAATGGAAGGATGTTGCAATCACCAAATGGATGAATAGCTTCAAAAATTGATGGAATTAGCAGATATGGCTAAATTGACTGCTTTTTCAAAGAAAAAAAATATGAATACTTTTATTGTGGTAATATATCCATCATATTCTGCAAGTTCTTGTACAGCTTTGT